CGTGCCCTACATACGAGACTCTTTGGACAGGCCTACAGTATACCTCCGTCTTGCCAGATTGGGTAGTGACGATAAACGAGGAGACTGGCGCCACTGCTGACTGGTGTATTGGCTTGTTTTTTAATCAGTTTATTCTACTGAAGTCTATAATTGGCAAATATTCAGCTGTGAGAAAAGGACGGACTTTATCTGTCAACACAGGTAGGTTTCGATAGTTCTTAACTATTTCTTCAGGTTGGTAATTATGGATTATGAAAAGATTCTTGTAACACAACCAATAAGTGTTTCTAAATTTTGTATGTGACGTTTCGATGACTTCACTGGTCATTTGTCTGATGAAAGTGAATAGAACATACCGTACTAGTCATCGAAACGTCACATAGAAACACTTATTGATTGTGTTACAAGAATCTTTTGAATATGAAGGAAGTACCTGGCTACAAGATAAGTTTGTCCACACAGGAACGAAAAACTGTTTATATTTTTTTACAAACCACGTGAAAGTTTAAGTCACCCCCGTGTGATGTAAAAACATGGCTAAAAATAGAAAATAAATAATAAAGACCAACGACGAGTTGACGTAATTTCGTGCCTTTGTGGATTTATATAAAGATCGAACGGCATTTTTTTCAATTTCACACCGGCATGGACATTTAGAAAATGCCGTTCAATCCTTTTATTTACATTCTTATTATATTTTTTTTACTTATGCATGTATTTGACCGAAATACCGACATTCGCTAATATTTCCGATATTGAAGTGTTAATGTCGTCAGTGGAATCGAGATACCTGGAACAACCCAACGTCATCAACATGTTTGCTTCTAGTGGTTGTCCCGTGCTATTCAAGGCGGGAGGAGGAGCTTCGAAAGGACGCTGATCCAATTGCGTGAACTCAATGTCTTAAAGAGGAACGTCCAGTGAAAATGTAAATATAATTGATTGGATACAGATGGAAAACGACTGTGCAAAATAAGGGAAATGTGTTGTAGATGCATTGCCACGCCTAAAGACCTACTTCCCACCTCCCTACCCGTCCATAGGTCAATTCAAGACCTGTAGTTTGTACTTCAAGATGTGTCTAAAACTGAAACAAAGAAATTGACTACAGGCTAGTTGGTACTGGAACGTGTTACTTACCAACTGGCATCAACACAAAGGTGAATAACAGTGATTTTTGTGTGGCAAGAATGGAACTACTTCAGAAAAGGAGTCCAGTATAATTTGTCAGTTGATTTTCAATTAACAATAACCAACGTCATAGCGGACTTTTCTGGTATAATCATTACATTCAAAGTTGACAGTTTCTATTGTATTATTTTGTGGTTGATTTGTTCATAGACTCATAGTCGTGATATTTATCATGTTAATTCCCAATTTAACTATACACATACAACATTTTTCCAACCAACACTATCTAATTTATTTAATAATGTAATAAGCGCTTTACTAATATCCCTCAAAATTCGCGGCAAATTATGAATACTGAATTTCTTTCTCTTTAGGTGTAAAAGACTTTTTTTTTAAATTTTCCTTTGCCGCCCTGTCAAATACTAGCCGTTTCCTACCTACTCGGGTGTATTCTGTAGACCATTCGATAGAGCGTTAGACTAGTAAGCCAGAGGTCCCGGGTTCGCCTCCTAGCGGAGGGATTGAAAAAAAAAATGACCTCTGTTTCACTTTGCTTAATCAAATCACCGATTCATAATCATCAATGTCGTAAGGTTATTTTTTGTATTTTGAATAAAATGGCCTTTTTTGGTACGATTTGTTGTTTTGTTTAATAAAAACAAGATAACAATATAGTTTTAGGTTAGTTTTGGTGTTTAATTAGGAGTTATTTCCCTTTAGTCATGACTTCCTAGTCCCACTGTGGGGATCTACGGCGGTACGACCCGACGTGGCTGTACCTCAAGGTCGACTGACGACAAAACCACTCGTTATTGCTGCTTTAACCGTTAATAATGTATTTCAGTCAACAAAACGGTATCTACAGCTGCATATGTATGTAGTTTAAAGAAATGATATTACACAAATATTCAAATTTTGGCAAAGTTTTACGTTGGTCTGAATGTTGATATCGTCATACATCTTCTTTTGTATAATTGTATGAAGAGCTAAAGTACACAATGTATCTAATAGAAATCTAAACTAGGGTTATCGAAGTTCCTAACCAATGTCCTAGGTACGATCAGAATTATTCAGTTCCAATTTCCAATTTTTGAAAATATCTTACGAAAATCGCAATATAATTATCGTCAATGGATGAATATGAAACACAAATGATGAAAACGCCTTAAGACAAATTTGGTAAAATAATGAAAAAGGCATCACCAATGGATTCAATTAAGGTTAAAGGTGCATTATCAATTTACAAACATGTTATAGAGTGACAGAAAGTCACAGAAATGCATACCACTGAAGTGACAGAACGTTCAACGGACATAGAAACATAACTGGAGTTAAAGAAAGTCAAACAGGCAAGAATGTTTCTGGAACCAAAAGCGACAAGTAAATGGACAAACTTAGCATTGAAGTGACGGAACGATCAACGGAAAACAAATATGTCGATATAGCGGAAGAATCTCAAATAGGCAAACATATTACTGAACTTGAAATGACAGGTCAAGGGACAAATATGTAAATTATGTGACATAAGGTCAAATGGACAAACGTGAAGCTGACAAACATGATACTGAAGTGACAGAACGTCAAACAGACAAACAGGCTAATGACTATAACCCGTTAAATCTGAGGCAGCAAATGAGTATGAGAGGGGAGGTCTATTGATAATGATGTATGTGATTAGAATCGTATGAAGATCCGCTTACATATCTATGAAGGTCGGAAACTGCGTTGAATTCTACAAACGTTCAAGGGCCTTTCTTAATAAATACTTCTGCACAATACAATGTATGTGCGAAGGGAGGCAATCCCTATGAAAATGTTGCTAAAAGTGAACAAGAAATAACGCCACCATATCCGAGTCTGTTATTTAGCTAGATAATTAAAATGTAGCTTGTTCTTTTTACATATCAATAGTTTGATTGTATTTCTATACGAATGCATCAAAAAGGTTAGAATCATGACAATTGAATTTAAAAGATAGAAATTGATTGAAATTACAGGATGGCGGATGGCGCAGTGGATATCGCACCCGACTATCACCAAGCGGCCGGGGTTCTATCCCCGATCTAATGTAAAAAGGTATGACCCACCACGCGGATTTATGCTGCCACTTTGGTTTCCTCCAACATCGAGACCCCTCCGCGCGCTAACATCTGGGCGATCAATGGTGGTTATTGTAAGTTTAATTAACTTGTATCATAATAATTGTTGTTAAATAAATAAAGTTTATATTTTAATTGAAATAATATCAACACGTGCAATTGGTGACAACTAACGCTTTCAAAAAAACAAACGAAAGTGCCCATGACGTCATGTCCCTTTGCATACGTATTGCCAATATACCATGATTATCAAAGCTCGCATCTCAAACATTGCATCCTGAGTTAACATTTTTTTTTATTAAGTACCGAAATAAAATCATCATCATTTAGCTAATATGATATTTAGTACATTCATTATATTTTTTTTCACTCAAACTCTAAAAGATCTGCATATTAACCACACATCATAACAAAACGGTAAACATCCTCTATACAATGCAGATAACTTATTACTGTGGTACAAATACTCTGCATTCGGGTCTAGTACGCCTGCACTATGCTGGGCGAAACTGCGTTCTGTGTTGTAAGATGTATTTTAGATTGTACAATTTTATGAATGTTTAATGCTTGACACGTAACTTGAGTGGCGCATTGGATAGCGTACTCGTCTTTCTCCAAAATGGAGAATCGGACGTGAAATGATCGATATTATGCTACCTGCCCAACCACGTTGGTTTTCTTTAGATACTTTCTCAAACATTAGAGCCCTACGCGCTTTCTTTTGGAATAAATAAGGTGATTAATATCAGAAATTCGAAATTGTATTTACAAATTGAACTTAAACTCCATATTACCGCAGTCAGAGACATATGTAATATAGTATCTACAGCAGTCTATATACTATCCAGTGGTAAATGATTAACAGTGTGTTCCTGATCACATCTCCGTTTAGTGCAAATGTTGCTAAATCTTCAACGACTCAGTTTTGGTTGAAACACATTAATCTCCTTGAACTTTATCCTGTCAGTCGGATAACGCTCACTTTTGAGATACTGTGCCGACATCTAAATTCGGATGTGTTGTCGTGTAGAACGTTGGATAGCGTACTCGTCTGTCTTCAAGATGGTCAGGGTTCGGTCCCCAATCGGACGTGAAAGTATCCATACGTTGGTCAATTGCCCGACCACATTGGTTTTCTTTAAATATATACTTCCTCAAATACTAAAACTCCTACGCATGTTCTTGTTGATTAACAACTGTTATTGATATAAGTTGATAAAACTTGTTTCATAATTGTTAAAAACTACATTATGATTGTTTTTCACTTTATTTGATATTAGAAAATAAAAATGCATTTCGTAATAAAGTCATTCTCATCCTAAATTACGTTAGGGCAGAGACGTATTATACGTCTCTGGTTAGGGGTACATATCGTATTTATAGACAGTATTGGTTGTTCCTGGTGGTACACTATCACTTCCGCTTTACGACCGTCATTTTACCTGCATAGGTGTCTGTGCGCATGTCTACGTACATTTCTAAATCACGTGATCAGTGAAGCGTGACTGACAAACGTCAACAGCATGCATACTCATTAGCTGTCATTTTTTGACGGATCATCGGTCGGTGGTGACAAATCGGTTCACGCCTCGCTTAACTCCCGTTAAACTATGTAATATTTTACCGAAAGATGACAACGAAACATTATACAGGATGATTATCGAACCGGAACTGATTTAGTTCCCGCTTTTCGATGCTAACGTATTCATATAGGTATATCGATAACGAACATATTCTTCAGGGTATTAATATTTTCCAGGAGATGAAATACCGCCTGGTTTACAAGAATCTCGTTTAGTCTGCATGTGACTTGTATAAGGAAGTTTGGTACTTTGTGAAATTCATGGATACCATTTTGGAATCTGCACAATTTATATTTATAGCTGTTATGTTTTAAATTTTACAATTGATATAATTTGCACGGATTACTTACAAACGCCATTGAGATCATTCAAGATATAAGGTAAGTATTTTCACATCTATACAAATGTGCTAGTCATGTATTGGTGAATCAACTTAATATGCGGATTATGGCTTTTTCAGGAACACAGACACGACTTTAAGTCCAGCACCAACATTTTGTTCTATTATTTGTTAAGGGATTTTGAGTTTTGATTTATTTAAATATCTATAGAACTATATAATATTACAGCCAAGATATTGATACAGGTATAACGCTTATGGTAAACAATGTGGCAGATAGCGAGATCTTAATTACAATGTTACAGATTTGATAATCGTTCCTTTGCAGTTAATGTCAAGATAATTCATCTATTTTAGAAGTGTGTCGCACACAGTGTAAAACACGACGTGGGATTGTGATGTTCCCTAATACGTCAGCTCAGTGTCGGATCGAAAGGGAGATCGGAGGTGATTGTAGATAGAATACGGGAATGGGGGAACGGGTTCCGAATGATTCTAAAAATACCAAATATGTTGTACTATGCATGTATGGCTATATAAATATACTATTGGTATGAGGGAATAGCTCATGGCATCCACACAGACTGTATATAACGTGGTTTTACCACATCATCTAAGTAACCATTTGTTATATCTTTGTGCAGAGAGAGTATCCTTCGCTTTTACTCACGTGATCAAGTATAAGCACGAAATTACATTATATAAGTTCGTAGTTAAAGAGAACGATCATCAGGTTAAAAAATAAAGGGAACGAAGTCAATTTCAGAGAGTTACGTCCCCGGCAGGCGATAAGGGTGCGACAGTAAATCACAGATGACTTGTTAATTGACTCGGGGATAATCTCACGGCAATAGTATCGCAGCATACATAGTTATCATGTATCTTCTTGTACTTAACGATTGTGAAACGCAACTCTTTAACAATCATGGCAGTATACCTATTGGATAATTTGTTTGGTGGTATACCTATTGGGGAATTTGTTCGCTGGTATACCTATTGGATAATTTGTTTGGTGGTATACCTATTGGAAAATTTGTTTGGTGGTATACCTATTGAAGAATTTGTTTGGTGGTATACGTATTGGGGAATTTGTTTGGTGGTATACCTATTGGAGAATTTGTTTGGTGGTGTACCTATTGAAGAATTTGTTTGGTGGTATACCTATTGGAGAATTTGTTTGGTGGTATACCTATTGAAGAATTTGTTTGGTGGTATACCTATTGAAGAATTTGTTTGGTGGTATACCTATTGGAGAATTTGTTAGTTTGTATACATATTGGGTAATTTGTTAGTTGGTATACCTATTGGTGAATTTGTTTGGTGGTATACATATTGGGGAATTTGTTTGGTGGTATACCTATTGGGGAATTTATTTGGTGGTATACCTATTGAAGAATTTATTTGGTGGTATACCTATTGGAGAATTTGTTTGGCGGTATACCTATTGGTGAATTTGTTTGGTGGTATACCTATTGGAGAATTTGTTTGGTGGTATACATATTGAAGAATTTGTTTGGTGGTATACCTTTTGGGTAATTTGTTTGGTGGTATACCTATTGGGTAATTTGTTTGGTGGTATACCTTTTGGAGAACTTTGTTTTTGTATACATATTGGAAAATTTGTTTGAACGAAGCTTCGTCACATACCATCATTAATGTTCAAAAGAAGCAGTGAACCTTTGATTGCCCCTGTCCGGCTTTTTTTTCAGGTAATGATATTTTTGAAGCAGCAAGATTTTACCAAATAGCGAAACAGTCATTTTTGCGATCCTGCTTCATTGTGACCAGTTTCATTGGGAGATACATGCACTGTACACGACGCCAGTCGGAAACCACTCGGGAATCTCCGTCCCTATTTGACGCATTTGACCATTCGTCTGCGATAAGTTGATGGTTGATTTTGTATTATTGGTAAAAAAAATGAATAGATACATGCACATATTTTACAACGAAGAGAACAGAAAATTATTACGAATTCTACCACGTTTGTGATATAATGACACTTTCCATTGGTTGAATACCATGGATTATTGGACGATAGACCATGCGCGTGCGAGCATTATTTCCGACAGAGGAACGCAAATGTACCGGTTAACAAGCGACTTGCGGGACTAGTTTTATTTGTCGAACGAGGGTAGCCGCATTTAATTGTATTGAAGATTTGCTAGCGAACCAACAAAATATCCCCTGTAAAAAAAACCACGGAAAACACTCTAACGAAATGTATATAACACAATGTAACATTACATATAAACTAAAGGGATTTAAGTCTAACACAACTACGTAACGCATAACATAGCATACATCCTTAACTATCACAAAAAGAAACATTTTGCCTGAAGTCTATGACTGTTTCATGATCCCGGAGCCAGAAAGCCGTGTCGGGACATACAGGAAGTTCATGTATTTATTCATGGTTGATTGACTTCGACCCCTGGAGCGTAACGAAGATCAGGAACCAGGCTTACATACAAATACATATGTAAACACGAGACATATGTAAACATGGGGTGGTCGGATGGTCGGATGATGCAGTGGATAGCGCACTTGCCTTTCACCAAGGCGTCCGGGGTTCGATTCCCAATCGGACGTGAAAAGTTGTAGGGTCACCTGCCCGAACACGTGGGTTTTCTCCGGGTACTCCGGTTTCTTCCCACACTAAGACCCCCACGCCCAAATATCCGGGCCAACAAGAGTGATTAATATAAGTTGAAATAATTTGTTTTGTATTTGTTGTAAAATAAATAAAGTTTATATTATATATGTGTAAACAACGGTTTCCTTCCTCAGTAACGTGCGGTTCAATGATATCTGATATGATCTGTCAATCTCAACACAATATTTAAGATGAGTACCATTTAATTTGTGTATGTCCTATTTATCAAGAAATTAAGAAAAAGGTTTATAAAATGTATCATTGGAAAAACCGTCTTTATTTATAGTAGTACAGCTTTTTCGTACAAAAAATACTTAAAAATTAAATGTGTTTACCAAATATATGTACGATTCTACCGATTTGAGAACTTTATTAATGTAAGGTGTACTGATGTCCATTCTCCACTGCACTATGTGCAGTCGTCGACCGAACATCATGTAATCGTGTTATTATTTTGTAACATTGCTGTGTGTATGTTATACGGATGAGCTGTAAAGCTCAGTGTAATAAAAAAAACTTGAATTTGAAATTTGATACATACACAAATTTACTGAAATCTGACTGGAAGGATTCAACATCTGTTTAACAGTACAACCACCAACTGACTGAAGAAGTCTACTATTGAAGCATGTGAAAAATTCCGTGCAGTCAATATTGACATCTGAGTGGAGTTGATATCTCTCCACTGATTCCATACGGAATGCATTAGTTTTTCATATGCTTAAAGCTGACAGTGCAAGTTAAAAAGCTTTCAATTGAGATTGAAAAACAAATTCTATTTTTTTTTTCTGGTTTAGAGATCTGCCCCATCTTTCCCAATCGGGAACCGCCCTTCTACCGTTTCTAAGGAAGTGCCGACATTTTAGTTTTTCCTTGCTTGGTAACGAGTATGGGTCTCGTTGGGTATTAAAAGCGCATAACCATGCAAACCATAAACATAAAATTTAAAAAAAAGAAATCTAATTTGAAAGCTTTTTAACTTGCACTGTCAGCTGTCAATACATTTCTTCAAAAAACATCAGAAAATCTGGAGAGCTATCTCGTGCTAGTATAGCATCGACTACATAACTATTTATCCTATTTCACGTGACTGTACATCAGACAAGAATTCAAATTGTAATATTTTATTGGGGCAAAACAATCGTATGCTACCGATAGTAAGATATATCATACCGCTATTTCATCACTCTGCATCGAACAACCAGAGAGCTATCCCATGCTAGTAAATCAGCGAGTAAATTACTAGTTATCCTATTTCACGTGACAGTACATCAAATTAAAATTGAAATTGTAATATTTTATTGGAGGAAAATAATTGTATTATACCGAAAGTGCGTACCGTACCGTCTGGGTATAACCGTGGTTCTGTAATACTATGTACGTATATCCTACAGGGAGGTGTACTGCTCCTTCCCATACTGCACATACATCACAGCCTCAAAGCAAACATCAGACTGTATCTATGTCGCCGATATGTCTTGTGTATCTAATTAACTAATTAGTATGCCATGGTTAGACGTGATGTGTTTTGTCTGTTTGTGTATACTTAGGTGCGGCGTATTGAACTTTTGTTGATCGCGTGGTTTGAATATTAATTATCACGTTAAGGCGGTTTAATAATCAGTTGAAATTTTAATCGTGTCAGAAAGTCTGGCCGCTGGGTACGACGATTTTTTATGGGAGTGCGACCAATATTTTTTTTTCAAATCCTAGTGTGTCCCTAGATAGTATTCACGCAATACTGTTTGCTTTATATTCTCGCAAAATGTCAGAATACCATTGAATGGACATTTCTAGCATCATCGATCTGTCGCGAAAGAAAAGACCATACAGACAATGCATTGCGTAGTCATGACGTCATATTGGCGTTATAGAGCAACAAACTTGATTGATGACGTTGCCAAGACTGTTGAATATGCAGTTAAAATTAGACTTGTACGTAATACATTTTACACATGTATTTAAAACGGTGAACACACATTTTGACACATTTTTGTAACTATTTCTATGAAAACGTGTTTCATTTAAACCATTGCGATCAATGCATACACGTAACTATCAGGTTATGATAAAAACACGATTTTTAAAAAAAAATTTTTTATAAATATTCGTACACTTCCTGTGACTATTTTAAACATATAACCATCGGGTCTCGCTTAGGAATCACTATCTCGGACAGTGGACGAATCTGTATTTATCTTATTTTTGTGTTTTTGTGTTTTTTTTTTATTTTTTTTTTATTTTCTATTTGCCTGTGTGAGTTACACGTATACTTATTTTTGAAATGATTTTTTTTTTTTTTCACAAATTATATTCATTGATTTGATATAATTTTGTGGAAAACAAAACTGTGATAAACATGCTAATATAGAAATTAATTCAAATATTATTTTCAAAGTGCAATGCTTAGAAAAAAAGACTATGTCTAATACACGTACAATCTAAAGAGAACAAAAACAAAAAAACAATTTCAGCGTTTTGAGACGTGCCCTGTAGTATATATATATTTCGGGATGACAGTTTGACAGATATAGGTAATACATTAATACCTTATCTTTGAAGTTTGTCACCTGCACAAAGCCATCAATATCCAGGTCAAAGCACTCTGTCAGCTTAACGCCTAGATTGCGTAAACTCTACAAAACATTAATTAATTTAAAGAAATAAAAAATGAAAATAAAAAAATAAAAGTCAAACATAACTGGTTAAGCTGTTAACCTAATTCACTGGTGAACAGGTCGCTCACAGTTCTCTGTTGTACGAGTGTGAGAAGGATACGTAGGTTTCTAGGAATAAAATATTACAGTACAAACTATAGACGTAGTGTAGGTACCTGCCTGGGGGGGCATAAACTTCAGATAATGTGCAATAAATACATGCATATTTAGAACTCCGTGCTGTCGTAACAAGGATATCGTGTCGTTGGTAAAATTACATTACCTAATAGGTATACAATAGTAAGAAATATGTTTTACTGTAATCAATTTTAGCTGTTATCCATTTTTACCTGAAAATCCTAGGGATATGATCTCTATAATTCCAAATAACTGGCGATGCATGTGATGGAAAACCGATACCATTATTTAAATTACGTTTTCTATTTTCTTTCATTCGTTAATTTCGTGTAGTAATATGACGTAGCATGGCAATGTCATTTCGGGGATCTTGAAAACTATTCACGTGAAAATTTTCCCATGAACGCTTAAATCGGGTTGAACTCCATTGTTGAGAAAAAACACCATTGAAAAAAAACATTGATTTAGTTTTCTAATGAGGTGTTTATTATGACGGAAGTGCATTAGCCAGACACCTCACGTTTTTTGTTTCTTGGTTCACTCAGGAATATAAATATGAAAGAACTTTCATTTATATGTCGCGGATATAAATTATGTGTCGTAATTCCAGCCTTCGATTTCCGTTATATTATAAGCCGTAGGGTTTATAGACTGAATGAGTTAAGCTGGACCTGATATCATGAGTGTAACCACGGAATTTAAGTCCGTGGTGTAACTTTCTATTAAATTTGTCAAACTTCATGTTTATTTATTAATATTATTTGACTGTTCAGTTTCAACTCAGTGAGAATTGCAACAAATCAATACAAGCATCAACGTTGTTATTATATACGGTAAAATAGTATCTCGTACACACATTGCATTGTGTTGTTCGCAAACGGTTATGGATAAACAGGTTCCATCACTTCCATAAAAAATGAAAGCAATGTGTAAGTGTAATTTATACAGGGTTTCTGATACATGTAACACGGATTTAAGTTTCATAGAAATACATAGAAAACTGTCTTAGAAACACTTAGACAGTCGGACATGGATATGTAAAATCACGTGATTTAAGGTCTCGTTGATTTCATTAAAATACGTACAGAAATACGAGTATATCTATGTGAACATGTATCAGCCAGCTTCCGTGTTTTGTTGCCAGTTTACGTAACTATAAAATCATCATAGAATCAGCTTTGCCCATATGATTCATTGCTATGTACAACCGTGTCCGGGAAATGATATACGTCTTTCGATACCCGATTTTATAGTTCGCCTTCCGCTTCCGTAAACTACAGGACAGTAACAAATCAGCGTGAGGTGAGCACGTCATGGTTGGCTGGTCACGTGATTGATTGACAGCCGTACACGGAGAGTGTGACCGTTATCGGTGTCAATCTCGTCACAGACCGATAACGTTCCAATGTTTATGTTAAGGCTGTGACGTAACAAGTAACGACGGGTCCGTTATTGTTAGAGAACTATTTACGTATTGAAGAATTACATGGTAATGTTTATCGTTATACAATCGGACATATATTGAAACATATTTTCTTGATAGGGTCAAATTATTAGAAAGTTTGAGTCGGTGTGTGTAATACGTCAGTTTTCCTGACAGTCTATAGCTATGTATGTTGTTATTTTTCCTGACATTCGATGCATGACGTTATTTTCCCTGACATTCGATGCATTGTGTTATTTTCCCCGACATTCGGTGTATGACGTTATTTTTCCTGACATTCGATGCATAACGTTATTTTCCCTGACATTCGATGCATTGTGTTATTTTCCCTGACATTCGGTGTGTGACGTTATATTTCCTGACATTCGATGCATAACGTTATTTTCCCTGAAATTCGATGCATTGTGTTATTTTCCCTGACATTCGGTGTATGACGTTATTTTTCCTGACATTCCATGTATGAAGTTATTTTCCCCGACATTAGATGTATGATGTTATTTTCCCTGACATTCGATGTTCGACGTTATTTTCCCCGACATTAGATGTATGATGTTATTTTCCCTGACATTCGATGTTTGACGTTATTTTCCCTGACATTCGATGTACTAATGTATGTCGTCATTAGTTCGCTGACATTAAATATATGACGTCATTGTTCCTGATATAAGTTTTTTTGTAGTGTTAACGTAACTACATGTAAAGTTATCACTGTAAGATAGCAGCATTTGCATTTTCTTTCTTTCCAGAAAAACAAAATGGCTACCCAGAGTCTTATCACGTACCTGTTATTAGTGATGATGGCATGTGTCGTGATGTCATTAGAAATAAATGGAACTAACGTGTGTCAACGAACCGTCACGTAAGTGTTTAATTAGCGTTACACGTGTGATGTGATCAACTACGGCACACATATACACAATACACGATACACGAACTAGTTGAAAAGTTTGGTAGACATGAGGTTTATAACTGGATCAGTATATATATGAAGTACGTGTATATTCTGTCAATCCAATAGATAAAAAATTGGAAATCTGATCTGCTTAGCTGTAAGATTTTTTCAGATACATTAAGCTATGTCTTACTTTCTATTATGATTGTTTTCGTTTTGTTAGTACGTTTTTTTCTTTTGTTTTTCGGCGACGAGAAAAAACCGGTTTATTTGAGCGTTACGTGAACCGTTGCCGGTAATATGGTGAACATATAATATAATATAACACTTTGTTTTATCAATGAGAACTGTGCTAAATATAGTGCCAAAGCTCTAGCAGCTATTCTTAAACGTCGTAATAATTCTATTTATCATTGATTATTGTACATTGAAGTTTGACATTTCAATATAATTGTATTGCATGTATTAGCTTCTCTCTCTCTTATAGCCTTTTAAATGAAGTGCTTTTACATGCATTTAAATTATTCTTAGTCGCTCGTAACTCTTTAAGAGTGGCTTTCGTCATATGTTTTATGTATATTTTATTGTATCATTGTATATATGTATACGGAAGGTGAGACTTAAATAAACTATCTGTATCTGTATAATTGCTAGTGCTGTCTAATGTATCACCAGCCGAGACATATATCACAGTTTTCCCCTTGATGTTCGATCAGGCTTAGTAACATAACAGCTAACTGTTTCTATTTTCAGACCAGACAATAGGTAACTGTCTACATGTATACACATGTGTTTCTGCCTACGGCACGTGTCCCTATTTATATATCTGTATAATGAGCACTGCTGCACCCCGTGCTGATTTGACTGCACATTAACACGGTTATCGATGTTGGCTAATAGACACTAATTGTACCTAAAAAGCATTGCAATTGTTCTTAATTAACACATAGCTGTAGAATAGTTCAAAACTCCCAGATTTGAACGTGAACGTTTCAAAAAAGCCCACTCCTGGGCGTGTTTAATTTACATGTCACCTTGCATTATGATGTCACATTATTATTGTTATTGAATTTGCTCCCAATCAAATTAGACAAATATTTTTTTGTTTCAAAAAACATTTTTTTGCGATATTTATAAGAGATCACTGTATGATATCTGCCAGTACGGCTTTCCATTATGGCATGATGTACTTCGTCATATTTTTCTCTACCCTGTAAAGTTAAAGAGAATAATTGAATTCGATCTAAAAAAAAAACTGAAAAAAATAAATATTGTAAGAGGAGATAACTCTAAAAGTACATGAATTGGGGCTCTTAATTCGGCGACACAAAAGCACGCCTATGATAAATATAGTTCGATGGCTTTTTTGGAGATATTTCTACAATTACAGTTATTTATGTGGTTTATTTCAGTGACACCAAAGCACGCCTAAGATACATATAGTTGGATAGTTTTTGTAGCAGGAGATTACTATATGTATATTATGTGGTTTATTTCAGTGACACCAAAGCACGCCTAAAATACATACAGAAGCCCTATGAACGCTGCACGCAAACGTGGTGTCCTAATATTTTGGAACTGTTTCGTTGTACACGCTGCTAGTAAGTTGCTTAATACACCAGTGACAGAACTATCGCCATTTTGTCTGTCATATTTATCATATCTATGCTTTCATTGTTTCTGTAATGCTTTCTATGTGCTGTAGTTTTAATCTTTAAAAATCGCGAGTGTTAATAAAACATTGTATTAACCTCCTCAGAAGTCAAATATGTAACAATTCAACAAATGAACCATTCACAACGCCAGGAAATGACGTTAGATTTTAAAGACGTTCACATAATATATGTAAGGCTAATACTTGAATAGATATGAACATTTTCTGTAACTGTGTCTAAAGTATTCAAAGGTGGCAGGACATTTCATTGCGTTTTTTAAACCTAACACTTTGACTCCGATTTTTCCTCACTGGTGGGGAACATATTCTTAAAGAACAGACTATAGGACACGTTAGGAAATATCAATTTACTCAACGAATTGTTAGCAACTGGAATTCCCTACCTGAAAACGTGATTCAACTTTTCGTTATAAAACAACAAACTTACGCCATACTTCTAGAACTTTAATTAAAAGTACAAATGCCTTATCCTCAACAATAGGCCAATCATACAGTAATGCACAATACCCTTAAAAATACTGAATTTTCAGCATTGACAAAGACCCGGATGTCACTTTACGGTAATTAATGCCGTAAAGGGGTCCGATGTTGTAAACATTGTCATATCGTGTGACTACAGACATGTTAGTGTATACCCTGAGACTTATTTAAAAAACTTTGGCCTTATCCGTCTCTGGTAGACGACCTTTTGACCTTGATGACGTTCAGGATTTGTCAATGAGCTGTAGGCGTTAGTTAGGTATGTGGTGATACACCAGTGTGCTGGCGATACATCACGCGGGTATGACTGGGCCGGTAAGTCTGTAACAGGTATTATGGGACATGACAGGGTATACTAGGGTATGCCTGGGCCGGTAAGTCTGTAACAGGTAGTATGGGACATGACAGGATTTCAAGTTGCAAGTTTTTTATTTACCAAATGCAATACAGCATATAGGTTATACAGTTACATCACACATGGTTCATAATAAAGTACAATATACAAGATGGCGGAGGATAATTCATGGTTCACATTCAACATATAGATTTTTACTGACCCACAAGGGCTTTTCTTTTGGCATACTAGGGTATACTAGGCTGGCCGGGTTTGTAACATGACAGGTGTATTTCGGCTTTTTACATAAATACTCCAACGTGTGTCAGCTATCAATTTATATAATTAATTATGATGAAATCATTAAACATCTTGACAAAGGCAAGGACGATAGAATGCTATTTTGTGACGTCAGTAAAGCCTTTGACATAATATAGCATAATTGTTTAATTTATAAACTAAAAAAGATGATATATATAATAATTACATCCCACCTTTGTGATCGGCAATAGATCTAGAGAGTGGTAACGGATTGGTGTCAACCTAATTCGAAAACACTGAAGGCGGGAGTACCTCAAGGCTCAGTCCTAGGGCCGTATCTATTTCTAGTTTATATTCCCGATGCCAAATGATGCTGATGACACCTCTGTAAATGGTTTCATTGGAGGAAACGGGCAATAATCTACTGATATATTGTTTTATAGAGCAAGGAAGTGAGGAATTTTATTCCAGACATGACTGAAACACTTCTCTTTTTAAGACGGTTCAAACTATTCACTGCATCCTAGTCTATATGTTATGATTCACCTGATAGTGACGTTTCCAATCATAAACGCTTGGGTTTGTTTTCTAACAGGAAGGCTACTTGGTCTAACCGCATAAATCACATACATGTTAAAGCTTACATAAGATTGTTTATACTTCGAATGTTGAAATACGGAATTGATAGTAAATTCCTCAACATCAAATACAATGTACTCCAAATGTATATGACTAGTCGTTGAAAATGTAAACGAACTGGGTGCAGAATGAATGCAGCGTCATGGAGCAAATACAACTTGAAGTATTATGTATTGTTATTTGTTTAAGACGTGGAACAGTTACTCAGGATATCATATTCAGAGAAACAGGTTTTATTGTACAGAGTAAGAGACACTTTCAAAAAATATAACATTATTTTAAAGTTATTATAAAAGGCCCCCCTCTCGTGTTCATGATGTAATTCTGCCATGAATCATCGGCAATATACTGACAATTATCATCTCAACCACAATAGAATAGTTTATGAAACCAACGACTCAATCGTACAGTAACAGTCTGTTTCCCAAAATGTTAGTCAGAATGGAATAATCCAAATTGCCTGTTTCCCTAATGACACCCATTGGAGTCATATAAATACGATTTCTCCAATCCATTGAACTGGATGTTTACCCTCAATGTACTTTTTAAATCTCATATTGATCGTACAGTAAACATTATGCTATGTCAATTAGGAAAATGTACCAGTAATTTAAATTCAGATCTGTTTGACCTAATCTAAAAATTATCCCCGCCTGATTTTCTGGTATTTTTTGACAATTGTGACCACTCATTCCTGTATTGTTCTCTCTGTACTAAACAAGGATAGCTTCTCTTAACCTCCGATTCTGCCCTTAGTAACCCACTGGATACTCGGACTTTGAATCAATAATGTGAATTTTACAACTTCTATACCAATGTTTATTTTCTTCAATGTACTGATGTCCACTTGTAGCTATGTTGTGTATATACATGCTAACACTGTATACTGTCAATGGGCACCCTGTCAATGCCCCCTTCATGTTTCACCTGCTCTACCTTTTCTACAGCACACTGTACAAGAGTGAGCTTGTATACAAGGATACGGACACCGACAGGACAGACCTGTACTGCTGTGCCGGGTACCAGGACATCAATGGACGCTGTCTGCGTAAGTATACTGGGTCCACTTGTATAAAACATCTCAACTCTTGAGATTTTCTCAAGTCTAAGATTTCCCGTAGACAATATATTGCTTGAGATTTTCCTTAACTTTGAGATGTTTTATACAAGTGGGCCCTGATAGTATAGACTAAATGAGAATAGTGAAGCTGTGAGTGTGTTTAGAGTTTAATGTCATCGTAACAGGTTACCACCGAAAAGAAGAAGTAGGAATATGAGAAAACAAAAAATACAGGGTATAGATCCAAAGTGGTGAAATTGCGACAGCAGATCAAAAGTGTTTTTTCCCAATACCCTTTAGCAGAAGAAACAGGAGACCCCCTCCCCACCCCCGTGTCCTGCCGGGCCGCACATCAGTTGCCTTTTTACGACATGTAGTGAGATAAAGATGACTTTTATTTTCCCGGAACTGACAAAGGCGTCAAGATTGAAGTAAACCTCTCTAGTACAACTACACTAATACAAGTACTGATACATAAAGCACAAGTCAAGTAGCTATGCCAACAGATCATGGAAGATAACCTGACTAAAATATACATACAGCACGTATGATGGGCCAGTAACCTTTATATCCTCTTCATATTTAAAACAAGCTAATACTTAGTCAACATTTAATTTATAGATAAGCAGACATTAAATGAAACTCTTTTTCCTTCTAAAACCTGCCTGAGTGCTGTGTCTCTTCTTTCAGCCGATTGTCCTAAAGGTTGTAAAAACGGAGCATGCGTTTTTCCTAATCTTTGTTTTTGCCATCCTGGCTGGAGTGGTGAATCTTGTTCATCACGTAAGACTACAACTTTCTCTTATTTCTCCGTCTGTCCGTCAATCTGTCTATTTAGCAGTGTAACACATATATATATACATTTATTCATGTGTCCCTGTAAGATTTTCTGTCTCTCCTACTGTTTATTCGTTTGTCCCTGTGTCCCTGTAAGATTTTCTGTTTCTGGCCACCTTCCTGTATGTCTGTTTTCTCGTCCGCTAGATTGTCTGTCTGTCTTTCTGTCTCTCCTGCTGTTTGTTCGTTTGTCCCACAGTCTGTTACAACTAGATGTCTGTCTGTATTTACGTCTATCCGTTTATTTTTGGTTTTTTTTTGAACATTTTTAGTTCCATATGTATCGATGATTTCCTCTGTCCGCCATCTGTACTCGCCCGCATGTTTATTGTTGCATGTTGTCGGACGGTCTGTTTATATACCTATACAGTACAGTTATAAATACATATATCTGAGGTTTGCATGCTTATATAATCTCCCTACTGGTATATCTGTTTAATTCGTCTTTACTAATTATTTGTGAGGTATCGATCTATGTGGTTTTCTGGTATGCGTCCATTGTTAAGCATATATCGATTCATGTATAAGTTTGTTCGACTCCTAATCAATCAAGACGTTCTATTCTATCAACTAATTCTCAATGTTCTATTTTTATTAATTTCATTTAAATCTTTCTAGTAATTTCATGCATGGTTTTTCAATCCTCGAACTCATCCACGAACCATTGAGATCCAACAAACCATTTATCCATCCATCCACCAAAAATCTAGTCATTTATGTAATAACCTAACTGACACTGATTAATATATAATTACTTCTTAGGTCTTATTTATAACTACACTGTAACTGTATGAAAACAGTTTCACATTAAAACACAAAAGAAGTATTTTGTATCGGTCTCATTTTATTGTCAATTGTTTATACACTTGTGAACTTTTGTTTTCTGTGCATTGACGGTACACATTGGAATAGATATTAGCCTCAACTATACAATTCTGTAGTTCAAGACCGTGGAAATTGGTCATGGGGATAGAGAACGCCTTCGCTATATTTTATTCTCAAAAATGTTGAAATGTGACAAGGGGATTGAGTACTCTTCCACTATATCATAAATTATTTCAGACTGTGGAAATGAGATATATTGATTGAATACGCATTAATCATATAACTATATTTCAGACTGTGGAAATGAGATATGGGGATTGAATACACCTTAACTATATATAACTGTATATTTCAGACTGTGGAAATGAGATATGGGGATTGAATACACCTAAACTATATAACTGCATATTTCAGACTATGGAAATGAGATATGTCGATTGAATACGCCTTAATTATATAACAATATTTCAGACTGTGGAAATGAGACCTGGGGTTTGAATACTCCTTAACTATATAACTGCATATTTCAGACTGTGGAAATGAGATATGGGGATTGAATACTCCTTAACTATCTAACTGTATATTTCAGACTGTGGTAATGAGATATGTCGATTGACTACTCCTTAACTATCTAACTTTATATTTCAGACTGTGGAAAAGAGATATGTCGATTGAATACGCCTTAATTATATAACAATATTTCAGACTGTGGAAATCAGATATGGGGATTGAATACTCCTTAACTATCTAACTGTATATTTCAGACTGTGGAAATGAGATATGTCGATTGCATACTCCTTAACTATCTAACTGTATATTTCAGACTGTATATGAGATATGTCGATTGCATACTCCTTAACTATATAACTGTATATTTCAGACTGTGGAAATGAGACCTGGGGTTTGAATTGCCAATACACCTGTAACTGTAATGGTCATGGTCAGTGTGAACCGATCACAGGCGTGTGTCAGTGTATGGCGGGTAAGTGATGTCTTTGTTTTGTCCTTATTTATTGACAAAGTGTTGGATTTTATTCATATTTGTTGACAAAGTGGTACATGTATATTTTGATCATATCTGTTGAAACTGTTGTATGTTTTCTGCTAACTTGTTGGCACTGTGGTATATTGTGTCCTTATTTGTTGACAAACTGGTCAATTTGTTTCCTTATTTGTTGACAAGGTGGTAAATTTGTTTCCTTATTTGTTGACAAATGGTATATTTTGTCTTATTTTGATGGCACTGGTGTATTTTGCCTTTGTATGTTGACACTGGTATGTTTTTTGTCCCAGTGTGTTGACATTGTGGTATATTTGTTTCCTTGCGTGTTAAAACTATTAACTATTTTGTTTCTATTTATATCTGTTGTTATAGGCTGGACAGGAGAGAAGTGTCAGACTCCATGTTCTCGGGGTACTTTTGGTGTGCGGTGTCAACAGTTGTGCCAGTGTAGGAATGGCGCGGAGTGTGATACAGCTAACGGCATGTGCACGTGTACACCTGGATACAAGGGACCACTGTAAGTATTGTGTTTCATTCGGATGACCTCTGTAAAATTGCTTTACCTAAAGATTATCTCTGCAAATATCTTCGTAAATAATCTTGATGACTCAGCTGATGTCCCCCCTCGTCTCTGTTCATATTATGATTTTTTTTCTGATTTCGATTGCTTCTGTGATATGCCTCGTTTTTGTGTGAACACACACACAAACGAGGGAAAATAAAAAAGCAATCGAGATCAGAAATATGATCAAAATATGAACAAAGACAAGGGGGACACCAGCTGAGTTATGTGTTTTACCCGATACTGACATAACAAGGGAGGGGCTAGATCCACTCCCTACTCCCCTATAAGTAATGCGTTACATTCGGTTGACTTCCGTATACGTGTTTGATTTCGGAATTGATAACATACATGATTATTTTACTTTCTAGGTTTATTCACAGGCTGTACAAAGTATACAACAAATTAGAATGGCGTTTCCATTAGTAGCAAAGTATCATTGAATACATACTAATCAATGTAAGCCGAAATGCAGTTATTGTACTCTGGTGGTGATTGGAGTTCCTATCGAACAGTCAGAAGGAGAAGATGAAACTAAGTTTTAAACCTGCCGAATATCTGTCTGCCTAAAGAGCGATGACTGTTTGATTAAATTATTAAGGTTATCACTATAATACATAGTTATGTGTTGTACACTGCAGGTGTGAGACGCGCTGCCGTCAGAACGACAACTGTAAAACGTCGTGTAAGTGTCAAAACAACGGCAGATGTGACGCCAGGGAAGGCCACTGTGAGTGTCCGCACGGATGGACGGTACGTAAACGTATCTGCTTAACGTTCTGCATTTAGGAGAATAGCAACAAATGGTTCACCCGTGCTCAGTTTCACGGGAACGGGCGGAATACTGTGCTGTGTGCCATCGGCATTGTATTTTTGTGAGGTAGCACTATAAAGTCGGCATCAAATCCTCGCTATCACAAGGAGGCTATTACACAAACATACCCTGTTTCCAGCACACATACACACATGCACGCTTATAACACACATGGAGACACGCCTTTAGTTGACTTAAGCCGTTAATAGGATGTTAAACGAAATAAAACCAAACCAAACCAAACGTAGACAACATTTCTGGAACAATCAACTGCCCTACCCTTGAACATCCGGTTTCGTTTCATTTTTGTGGGAGCTCATGTCGTTAATACTGCAAGTAAAGCATGTGCATTGTATATGTCATCTCAAACTTAATTTAGATGCATACAACTCATAAAGAAAGTTTCATTAATTTATGCATTTATTAATAAACTTTATTCAAAATATAGAGAAGGTTTATTATCAAGGCAAATGATGCAGTCCAGTGAGCGATGTCTTCTGTCCATTAGCGTAGATGTGGTTGAATATTCTTGTTTATGTGTTGAAACTGAGATATTTCTGTGTGATGTAGTTGGCCCTATGTACTGACATTGTTCAACATTGTTGGTCCATTTTGTTAATAATATGGTGACGTTGTTTGTCATTACTTCAGTCATGTTGAAACTGTTGAATATCCTTGTTCTATTGTGTTGACACTGTTGAATATTCCTGTCCAATGGTTGGCACTGTTGAATATTCCTGTTCAATGGTAGGCACTGTTGAACATTTGTGTTTCATTGTGTTGACGCTGATGAATATTCTTATTTCGTTTTGTTGCCACTGATCAGGTTTGTTTGACATACCTTTACGTGGAGTGCGGTACTGCGCCCTGCCCTTTCTGTTATACGGGAGCTGTCTGTTTGATAATTTAATCTATATGACTTTGCAGGGGGATACTGTACTGCGCCCTGTCTCTCCGGTTATACCGGCGTTAACTGTCTGTTTTTACGTTACAGGGAGATATCTGTACTGAGCCCTGCCCCGCCGGTTATACGAGCACTAACTGTCTGTTTTTGCTTTACAGGGAGATATCTGTACTGAGCCCTGTCCCGCCGGTTATACCGGCGCTAACTGTCTGTTTTTACTTTACAGGGATATATCGGTACTGAGCCCTGCCCCGCCGGTTATACGGGCGCTAACTGTCTGTTTTTACTTTACAGGGAGATATATGTACTGAGTCCTACCCCGCCGGTTATACGGGCACTAACTGTCTGGTTTTACTTTACAGGGAGATATCTGTACTGAGTCCTACCCCGCCGGTTATACGGGCACTAACTGTCTGTTTTTTACTTTACAGGGAGATATCTGTACTGATCCCTGCCCCGCCGGTTATACGGGCACTAACTGTCTGTTTTTACTTTACAGGGAGATATCTGTACTGACCCCGGCCCGCCGGTTATACCGGCGCTTACTGTCTGTTTTTACTTTACAGGGAGATATCTGTACTGAGCCCTGCCCCGCCGGTTATACCGGCGCTAACTGTCTGTTTTTACTTTACAGGGATATATCTGTACTGAGCCCTGCCCCGCCGGTTATACCGGCACTAACTGTCTGTTTTTACTTTACAGGGAGATATCTGTACTGAGTCCTACCCCGCCGGTTATACGGGCACTAACTGTCTGTTTTTACTTTACAGGGCGACATCTGTACTGAGCCCTGCCCCTCCGGTTATACGGGCACTAACTGTCTGTTTTTACTTTACAGGGAGATATCTGTACTGAGCCCTGCCCCGCCGGTTATACGGGCACTAACTGCTCTGATATCTGTCAATGCTATAACGGAGGTCACTGTAATAGGTTCTCGGGTAACTGCTCCTGTACACCTGGATTCACCGGACAGAAGTAAGTAGTTCTCAATCAATACATACTTTTCGTGTTTGTTCCTGTTCTGATCACGTGACGTCGCCTTACATTTCGGATCCAGTTTCATCAAGATTCGTCAATTAATAACATGCTAAATCAATTGTTTAAACAGTGCTTTTAAGGATATTTTGCGAGAACAGGAGCACTAGGTTTTGTTGCCCAATGTTATAGTTGTGAATGCCATATTGTACAAAATTTGTTTCTTCTTTCATACTAACATATACCACATGTACTAACGCTCGTTCAGACGAACCATTTGAACTTTGTGTGTAATAATTTCGCCGAGATATGGTTCAGTTAATTGTTTTCATACATCAAATATAATACACTTTACAAATAATTGATTTAAAATTAACCGGTATTCGTCTTAATTTTTGTATTCAATGTTCAAAGGTTAAACGTACCTGCTCCTGTGTTTCAACAGAAATTTAGACTCAGTCATAGCTTGACAAATGGACCAGTCGGTCTTGAAACGTTGCGACACGTTTAATACGTACATTGTTTGTGTAAAAAGCAAAACTCTGATATCACCTATTTCCAAACAAATATTTGGCTTACTGTATCTTTTACCACATATCAGATGCAATCATCCGTGTGTTTGTTATGTTCATCTTTCACCTTTGTCTGTTTGTCACGTGATTTATTTTGGCTACGTATTATAATAGTTGTATCTTACGTGTTTTCCGTGATAACAAGACCGCAAATGTCTGGACGTGTCTCGCTGCATCAAAGGTAATATTCATATAATATGTATCGACGACAAATATTTATATATCCAATGTAACAACATGTAACTTTTATATTACTATTTATCATTGGTTATATAATATACATAACAAACTTTACCAGGTGTGAAATCGAATGCAAACCGGGAATATTTGGAAGTGGATGTAAATCGAAGTGTGAATGTCAACATGGCGGTACCTGTGAACACGTGACCGGAACTTGTGCCTGTCCGCCTGGTTATCGTGGAGACAAGTGTGAAACGAGAGGTAAACTTTCCCGAACTAATATCCCCTGGTATCGTCCTTTATGGTATTGTTCTATTTCCACATGTATAACATTTGCAAGCGAGTATTTACAAAATTAACTGTTCAATTGGTACTAGCTGCTATTTTTTAATACTTCCTGAAATACAAATCGGCGTCATATCATCAACATGACATATTGCAGGGGTGTAGAGAGCGGAAGTGAGGGTAACCCCTGGATATCGAGTATGGTGTTTCATGTACAAATGTACACCATGTCAGAGTGCCATCAATACTGTTGCTTTTCTGTATTGTTTTATAAAATGTATGTTAAATGATTTACCAGGAGTAAAACTTGTAAGACAATTTACACGTCATCATAAGCTTAAACATTATAACAGTTGATCAAAATTAAGTGCTTTTCAGTATATTACATTCCAGGTTAAAAATGTATTTTATAGAATTAGGATTACATAGATACATAGATTTATTCTGACAAAATTAGGATTTTACAATCCTTTGACAGTCAGCTCTGAAATAGCAAACAAATATATAAGGTCTTACATTTTACAACATCAAGTACAATATTATCAATTCAATGGAAAACCATTATAATTTCAGCCTGTCCAGATGGGTTGTATGGCGAACAATGTGACCAGACCTGTAACTGTACATCAGAGCGAACAAAGAGGTGAGCAACTTTTATCAGTTTACTTAAGTCATATTTTAATTCTCCATATTTCCTCTAGCAAAACAATTACATAGAAGTGTTTTTATGTAGTCACTCATAAGAAGCAGTGTACATTTATCAGGTAATTATATTAAACATTTAGAATGCTGAAGTTTTAACACAACCTTTATTTGAACTCAAAACCGATAAAACTAGGGCAAAATATCAATAAAAGAAAGACTTACATGGAGACCCTTGAAAAAGTACAGGAAGACTAGGAATGGCGAACGTTTCCTGCTACAACACGTTGGTCATACCTAAAGAAATCATAAGATAGCATCATCTTTTTTTCTGGTTACGCCTGACACATCTATGAATCTGTAAGGACTTTTGCAAACCTAGCTGTATCCACTTTTCTTCATATTTCCTTAGTTTCATTGAATACTAATTATGGTTTTATTTACATTTTATTACTTGTATAAAACCCTTCTGCAAATGATGGCAGTCGAAATATACATATAAGTATGTGTCAACTTAGAAATGAAGCCAGCAATTTGAACTCTGATCTTTTTCTTGACCATTTAAAAGATTCTCCAATATGCACTTGCAACCTTGGTGAGGAAACTGCGGAACATTATTTTTGTATCTGTCCTCTATTCAACCATTCTCGATTGACACTCAGAAATCATCTGATTAACCAAAATATAACCCATGACCATTTTACTATAAGCACATTACTTCATGGATGTCATGAATGTGATGAAGAAACCAATGCATTTGTACTACAATGTATATCAGAGTGCATTATCAACACTAAACGATAACTATACTTTGTACCGTGGGGACATGGAGACACACTATATGAATTGTTTATATTTTTGTTTGATGATTTCAATGACTGTACATATAACATACCGAAGTTGTAAGGAGAAGGCTTATGTAGGCTTTGCCTGATGCCCTATCATTTGTTGAAATGAAACCCTTCTTTGGTTTATGCATATATTGAAGAACACGTATTTGTTGTAACAGAAACAACCCTTAGTCATCTGAATTTTGTTCCCTTTTATTCATTAAACTATTATATAAAACATTGTAAATTAATGTTATAATATATGTGTAGAAATATATCTATATTTCCTGTTATTTCACGACGCCAGTGACTGTAATCCAATCACGGGCGCCTGTATATGTAGTCCGGGATGGAACGGATACACGTGTGACGAACCATGCCCCGCTCCAACATACGGGGACTCTTGTTCCGAGTCATGTGACTGTCTTAATGGCGGTCTTTGCCACCACGTGACCGGTAAATGTCAATGCGCTCCAGGTTTCGTCGGGAAAAGGTATATGCATAATTTTGATACAATAAAAGCACATGAAGATTTTATATTCGGTCTCCCCCCCCCCACCCCCCCNCGTTGTGCATAACTATCATTTATAAGTCCAGAGATGCGAACTGCTTGGAAAGAAATATTTATTTGATTTCTCAATTCAATGATATTTCATGTTACTGTATTAATTTTGTAACGAAAACTTGTAATAAATGGTTAAAGATGAATTACTAACTACATTGTTAACAATATGAAATATGATTTTACAAATTTGATTTCACGTGATAGGTGTGAAAACGAATGCACAGATGGATTTTATGGTTTCGGATGTACTCAGCCTTGTCTCTGCAAGAACGGAGCCAAGTGTATGGCCAGGAACGGATACTGTCGCTGTGCCCCAGGTGTGTACGGGAATGGGGAGGACATATATATTACATTAATATGGTATTTATATTCCGATTACGAACATGCGCAGCGTGTTTAGATTTAATGACATATTCAAAACTAAGGTCAATATCCTGTTTTGTATGTAAAAGCATAAAGTCCTTACAGATGAGTTTGAGATCCAGACATGTACCTGTTCTTCTATGATATCCAACAAATATGCGAAAACTAACCATTCATACATTTCTGAAACGTACAACACATCAAAACCAAACAAGTATATCTTTTATACAGATTGTTATAATTTATATGGAAAAGCATTGATGCAATATATGGCAAACAACTGCTGGAAGGACTTCCGGCGATCGTGCGCACGCGCAAAACGCTCCTAATTTATTCAATCAAAACAGTTACATGATTCATATTATGCATAACACACCATATTCTTAACTGTTAAACATTCTGACTTCTCAGTTTAGTGGGTTGAATTTTGCTGAATTTTAACAGTACACGTAAACAATTTCTCTCAAGCTTGTTACATGGAGCCACAATGAATATGGTATTTGAATGTTGCAAACTATATTATATATGTCGAGAATTTTCAAAGTTGCCATGGTGGTTATATTGTATTGAAGGTTACCATAACAACCATGTTATGTTTAAGGTTACCATGGTCTGACATGCAGCGCCCTCTGCCCCGTCGGTTGGTATGGTGCCGACTGTGCATCTAAGTGTAGATGCAAGAACAACGCACTCTGTCATCCGACCGATGGGAAATGTACCTGTCTCCCTGGCTACATGGGGACGATATGTGACCAAAAATGTCCGGTAAATATTTGTACATTTTTTTGGCAAAAAGAGCAAAACAGCAGTATGTAATTTCATTGCGTGGACTATCAATGGTCTACCTTCTCAGTGTTCTCGTGTTTTACCCAGCATCAACCTGTATAGGCAGTATGTACGTCTACAGACACACGTGAACCTCGGACGTTATCCATAGCCTGATTGGAGCTAGTTTTACCAACTAACTGTACATTTTACGGTGTCTACGTGTTATAAAATATTAACTGGACTTAAACTATTATGTTTTCTTATCGTGGCACTATGTGTTCAGGTTTTCTTCTTCATGTGATATTGATGAAGTTTGATGAAGTGTTCCAGTCTTTCTTTATATCGGAAACAAAACTTTTTGTAAATCAAAACATCGCAGAAAACGAGCAGGAGCTTGGTTTTCTGTTGTGCATAACTACATAAGTATTTTGGCATAACATTGATAATTCTACTGAACGTATTTTTTTAATATATATATATTTGTCAATTTCTTGTTTAGCCTTGGCAGTTTGGATTTGGTTGTCGACAGGACTGTTCCTGTGACATAATGAACGCGATATCTTGTAACCACCAGACCGGGATTTGTATGTGTAAACCTGGATATAGTGGTAGGTCGAATTGTGTTTAATGTTTCAACCTTACGGTCATTATTCTTTATCAAAGGTTTCCCATTAAATTATCAATTGGGTTTTGAAAAGTGGGTGAAACTTGGTCACGTTCTTGATCATGACATTTTGTTATTCAATATTTTTCTTAATTTTGACTGTACGGTACGAGTCGGAATAAATGACGAAGTTATGTATACACAACAATGAGTTGGAACACTGAGTGCATCTGTTAATATTGATTTGAAAATCCATGTCATCACCGTGAACGAGATAAAGATGTTTTGAACACAAAACTTACTTCACACAAGTATCTTATCATTCTCAGGTGTAGACTGTCGGAGTACCTGTCCAGAAGGGAAGTGGGGAGAATCTTGCACACGAACTTGTTTTTGTAAGAACAATGGCACGTGTAATTCGAAGTCAGGTGGATGCCTATGTAGGTCTGGTTACCAAGGCGACGACTGTGGGAGTAGTAAGTATATATCTATAATGTGTCGAGACGCTCACTTAGCATTTATGTCAAGTTTGCACAAGGACTCAAAACAGACTCAGCAAACGATTAAACGACATCTAGGATGAAGTCGATAAAACAGAGATCATAGCCTTATCTCCAGAATACTATAAAGTACATATACCTAGAAATGTGTATATCGGTTTTTTCCGTAATGTAGCCAACCCGTTCATCATTGTGTTGTTCAGATTGTCCCGTTGGTTACTATGGTGAGGGATGTCAGACCCAGTGTGAACAGTGTAGTAAAGGATTGGTCTGTGATCACGTGACAGGAAGATGTTATGCAAAAGAATGCCCAGCCGGTTTCCATGGTCCGGAATGTCGCCAAGGTAACACTTTCATCTGTCTAATCCGTTTAATTTATAAACGTATTATTATCCTGCTTATTCAAAATTTGAAAAAAATAAAAAAATAAAAAAAAAAATATGTTTATTTTTTCATTGCTAGTTTGTGAAAAAGGATATTACGGAAAAAGTTGCAACTCATCATGCCCACCGTGCAAAAATGGCGCCCTGTGTGATTACGTCAGAGGGAACTGTATCTGTATGCCTGGATGGACAGGAGACTTGTGTGAAAAGCGTAAGAAAATACGTTATACTATAAAAATAAGCTCGATATGAAAAACGTTTTACCCTTTCAACGCCAGCACTGCTATCTATTAACATTTACGTACAGTTTAGTTGGACAGTGTTTCGTTATTCGGAAGATCAAATAACTTGCTAATTTACTAACGAATAACGAATAACTGTTCAATTTCACCTTACCTAACATTCATGTTTTCATTGATGTGATTCTTAGAATATTTATGAAATTATGAATGTTGCTTTATAAGGTAATGACAAATAATATATGATAATTCAAAAGTTAACATTTTCAAAATTTAGTTACTAGTCACCGACAACTGCTGTGCTTTGTCGGTGTGATATCAGTGAAATCCATTTCTATGAAACCGCACCCCAAAAATCGTAGACATGGAGCAATTGAGTCACCGGTCCACCTCTTAATCGACAGATAATGATAGACATACTATCTTACAAATCAAAAACATTGTTCTTCGTGTCATGCATCTTTGGATACGGTATCATTATTGGATTTAACATATATATTCTGTTGCATATAGTATAGCTATTACTTTTGCCATTTAAAATGAAAAGAAATTCAAACAGATGAAAAAACAATAATTCCAGTCAACACATTATTTTATATCATGTATAAAGTTACGTTCGATGAGTCAAATTTTGCGACATTGTCATGCATACAATTATTTGATGTTTAAAGTGTTTTTTTTTAAAATTATTCATAATGCAATTAAAGCAACTGTGAAGTATTTCACTGCGTTAAGTATTGCAGATTGCAGGAATTTTTTAACATTTTTGCCGGTTCAGTTAAGCACGCAGATCCGTAATACCAATATCCATTTATACCGACTTCTATGCAAACATCTGTTCAACTTATGTACTTGTTTTCTAAATCTGTAAAATATATCTGAATTCACTTACTCACTAAACTCTTGCTCGTTAATAATTGCTGCATCGGAGTGAATGTAAATTTAGTGAAAACGGTATTCCTAGGTCAGCCTAACGTCCCCTTAACGTTGACTTTCTTCGACAGTCATACGTTATTCGAGTTTGAAAGAGAGGCTCCAATTACTAAAGATCTGATCATATTGCGATGATAGTTATATGATCGAAATTTCGCCCGGTTATTTTTATGCAGGAATATGCAGACATAAATTAAAGTAATATACAATTATAAAACTATTTACAGATAAAATGATTAAGTGATTATAGACCCGAGTCATGTGTTGTTACTATATTGTTGTTGTGATTATAGACCCGAGTCATGTGTTGTTACTATACTGTTGTTGTAATTATAGACCCGAGTCATGTGTTGTTACCATATTGTTGTTGTGATTATAGACCCGAGTCATGTGTTGTTACTATATTGTTGTTGTGATTATAAACCCGAGTCATGTGTTGTTACTATA